GCATTGCTTGGAACTGTGCAGAGAGGAGAATATGGGTGGAGAGAAGATACCAGACCAGGGACCGGCTCATGCAGGGTATGTGAGCAGCATGTCTAAGCTGGGAACCACCAGAAGACCTCAGTGCTCAATTCTAGATTCTGTGCCTGATTTGCCCTGTGCTCTGGGGTGAATTTGGCTTACAAGACACATTGGATGTTTCCACATCCATTTTGCTCCTGCATCAAGGCCACCATCCTCACCCCTCCTGGTACTGGGGTTTGAGCTTGGGGAGCTGGCTTTGTGAATGGGCTGTACCTCTCCAGCCCTAGCCTGAGCCCGGGCTACAATCCAGGAAATCTCTCTGAGCAGAGAAGACAAATGGGGAAGTCCTTGGTGGCTGAGCTGAGAGAAGGCTATGCATGCGGGACACTCCATGGGAAGGAGATTCTGCAACCCCATCTCCTGGACAATCCTATGGAAATCTCAAGCCCTCGCAGACCCCTGCTCATCAGGTCATGCTTGGGGAGAGCAACTAAAGGGCCACTTGTGGGATACAGGACAGTGTTTTCCTAATTGAGTGGCAGGTCCAGCAGGCTGGGCTGAGCTGAGATAGGCCTCATGCTTATCCCCATCTCCCAGAGCAGCAGAGGCATCTGATGCCCAGAGATCAACGTGATAGTCAAGCACTAAGGGGATTTGGCAGTCCCAGTGCAAACACCAGGAGATGCCAACATTACTTGTCACAAGCTACCTTTCAGGACAGCCTGGAGATCGGCTAAGTAACCAGGGGCAACCAGGGCCTCCACTTCAGGTTTTTCCAGAGGTCTGGTTTTCACGTCAGAGGTGGAAATCCATGTGGGAGTGCAGGCTGGTCCCTCCTCCCATCCTCCGTCCCCTCCATCGTCACCTGGGCAGGTGGCTATAAGCCTCTTTCCACCAGCTTCCTAGCACCTTTCGCTCTGTGCTGAGAAGAACTGCAGAGGCAGAAAGGCTCCGGGGCAGGCCCGGTCCTGCTGGTAGTATTTAGTCAGCAGCTGGATTCACAGTGTTCCTTACGGCCAGCAGCAGTGGCAAGAGTTGCACTCGCAGGTGTCAACTGTGAAGGCAGGCTTCTTCTCAGCTGGGCTTAAGGAATGTTCTGGAAAGTGCTGTGGGTGGTCCTGAAAGTGAACCCCTACTCCAGTGTTGCCAAACTAAGAGGCCCCAACTGTAACACTTCATGGGGACTCCAGTAAGCAGGACTGAAGGTTCTAAACCTCCAAACCCCCCGTTCAAAGCTGCTGCGTTGCCGGTCAGCTCTCACGTCCAACAGCCAAGCCTGTCTGCCTTTTGCACACAGCATCCTCGATACAGGGTGTAACACCCAGATGGGATACAGCCTCAGTCTAGGGCTGCACACCCTCACATGCTGTCCCTTTGGGGGAAAGGCAAGGCTGAAGATGCCCACAATTTTTAAATTAACATTTCCACTCTTTAATCTCCAATTCTGATCTGCGGTTGAGAAATTCTAAACCAATTAAGATTGCCTTCTTTTCATTCCTAAAAATAGATTCTGTTTCAAAGATCAGACAGAAAACTTAAGGAGAGAGATATTTTGGATTTTCAGAGTACTCGTCTTAACTTCACAGGCTGTTTTATAAAAGTACTTGATTAAAGGAACAGAGAAAAAAGTATAAAACAATGTAGGCTCTTAGTGCTTTAGAGAGTGCACTGTAGCATCAACCTGGAATATTCTACCAGTTTAAAAAGTAATCACATTCCTCCGCTCTCTGCTGGGCAAACTCCTATTCATCCCTTCATGCTCTAACTCAAATGCCCTAACATCTGCGGAATATTTTCTGACCATACTGTCCATTTTCATCCGAGAAACAGTTAATGCTTTTTGTCTGATCCCACCACATAGCTCTTAGTATGTAATCTCTGAGTAGTCTGTATTTTAATCTGCTATGTATAAAAATTCACATCTATAGAATCCCTGTATTCCAAACTCACAAAGGCAGAGACTAAGCTATATTTAGTTCACAGTGGTTGTAAAAAACTGTTGAAAATTCACATGCCACCCCTGCAAAGGCTTTCCAGACTCCCCGAGCAGCAGGAAAATCTACAGAGAATTGATTTAAACTTCTCCCTTCACCACCCGCGGCCCCCCATGGGTAGTGCTCAGCGCATCTCACTCCTTCCCTTAGACTACATAAAAGTCAAAAAGGAATTAAATTTCTTCTCTGTAGTCTTTTCACAAGACATATGAAGAAGCACATCTGCATTCTTTCCTTCTAGCAGACACGCTTTAAGGATCAGTTGTGGCCAGGCACAGTGGCTCATGCCTGTAATCTCAACAATGTGGGAAGCCAAGATGCATGGATCACTTGAGGCCAGGAGTTCGAGATCAGCCTGGCCAACATGGTGAAACCCCATCTCTACTGAAAATACAAAAATTAGCCAGACATGGTGGCACACACCTGTAATCCCAGTTACTCGGGAGGCTGAGGCAGGCAAATTGCTTGAACCCAGGGGGCAGAAGTTGTAGTGAGCTACATTTGCACCACTGCACTCTAGCCTGGGAGACAGAGTGAGACTCCATCTCAAAAACAAAACAAAACGAAACAAAAACCAGTTGTATCTTATGTAGACCATTATGTGGCATATATCTCAACTGTGGTCAGGACAATCCTGCACTGACCCCAGGCAGTGAGCCCCAACCTCGAGGTCCTGTCAGAGGTGGGATTGTAGGCTCTGGAGCCAGAATGCTGGGGTCCAGATTCTAACTCAACTATTTCTAAGCTGTGGGACCTCAGGTAAGTGACTTGATGTCTTGAAGCCTCAATTTTCTTATCTGTGAAATGGGCACAATTAACAGTAGCAAATTTAGAGAATTCGTGTAAGCAGTAATACACTGAGATAAAGTGTAAAGGGTTTTGAGCACCGTTGCTGAATCACAATCACAGCTTAATAATGCTAGTTATGTTTTTCTATTCTGAAAAGTATCAGTATGAATCATATCTTCTCTTCCCTGAGCACTTAGAGACAAGAGAGGAAACCTTGCAGGGTACCAAGAAGGTTTGCTTTTCAATGTGTCACTCCAGGCTCTCTGCTGTTTCTTTCATATCCCTGTGTCTTGTGGGGAGAGACTTTCAGCCAGTTGGCCCTGATTAAGTAGGAGGAGAGAGAAACACCCACCTCCCCATACCACCATCACCTGTGTTATTCACATGACTTCACTCTCTCCCTTCCCTCTGGGGCTGGAAGGGGACTACAGCGTAGAGACAGCATAGGTAAGAGATGAAGTACTTTGGGATGATGAGTCATGTGTTCCTCAATATACCGGGCCTGGGTGGAATGAAAAAGAATTTAGGACTAAGAGAAAGGAAGTCTCCCTCCAAGGAATGCTAAGCTGGTGCACCCCACCCCTGGCATAATGGTGGCCGTGACCCTAGATGACTCCAGCCCATGGCTTCCTCTAGGTTGATTCTCCTCCATCTCTGAATACCCATGTCTTGCCAGCCCAGTACCTGGAACATCACAGTTGTTAAATATCTGAAAGTAACTAGACTTCAACAAGCTCATTTGGGGCCATGCTTAACCTAAAGACAAGACTGGTAATAGATTGATAACAGATTACTGGTAACTGAAGCTTAAAATACAATTTTAAAGTTTAGTTAGATAGGGCCGGGCATGGTGGCTCAAGCCTGTAATCCCAGCACTTTGGGAGGCCAAGTCAGGTGGAACACGAGGTCAGGAGATTGAGACCATCCTGGTCAACATGGTGAAACCCTGTCTCTACTAAAAATACAAAAAATTAGCTGGGCACGGTGGCGCATGCCTGTAATCCCAGCTACTCGGGAGGCTGAGGCAGGAGAATCACCTGAACCCCGGAGGCACGAGATCATGCCATTGCACTCCAGCCTGGGTAACAAGAGCAAAACTCCGTCTCAGAAAAAAATAAAATCAAATAAAATAAAGTTTAGTTAGATAAAGGGATACAGACGTTGAATCATCTTTAAATAAAATAGGAAAGAGAAGTAATATAGAATAGCATTTTTAGATATTTTCTCATTTTAAAATGAGAAATCATTTAGAGGAATCATAATATTAATAACACCAGAAATAATAATAGAAATTAAATTCTATTAAATGCTTGTTTGATTGCACAATGGTTGTTATTGAATGTTTATTAAAAAGTTAGTAACTAACTTTTATTGAATGTGACAATGTGTTGGGAGCCCCATTAAATCTTTACAACAACCCTGTAAAGGACATACTGCTATCCTCATTTTGTAGATGGCCAGGTTGAGGTTTAGAAAGACTAAGCAGCTCATTCCCAGAACTCATAGTGGCTCATGAAGGCAGTACGGTCTGACTGTAGATGCTGTGGACTGTAGATACCAGAACTAAGCTAATTCTGCAAGTGGGTATGGAGTTCCTGCCATGTCCTCAACTTCCCCTGTAAGAACATGAAGTCAAAATGTGGCTCTCCCCTCTGAGAGTTTATAACCCTGCTCTGATGCCAGAACCCACACATTAAATTATTCAGCAGCCAAATAAGAATTAAGTTTGAAATGCAAAACAAAAAGAAATGAAAACGTAGGGCTATGGTTTTCTTATCTGCTACAGATACTGTATTGTTATCAATCTATTACCTTTAGGTTAAGCATGGCCCCAAATGAGCTTGTTGAAGTCTAGTTACTCTGCTGACATCTAGCAGCCTCAGCTTTAGAGCTACCTCCATGGTAACATGCAGTGTGTCCTTGGCCAAGCCCCGTCACTGCTGAACCTCAACCTTCTTAGCTATAATTCAATCTCCAAGCTTTCATTAAGGGTGTAGAGTTTACAATGTCCTTTGCCATCTCACACACGGAGGCTTCAACTAGTGGGAACAGGTTAACCAGGTTCTTGTCTTGAAGATGTGCCTGATTCGTAGATGGAAAGGGTTAAACCAGCATGAGGCACAGAACGTAGAGAGGGTACAACTGTTGCTGTGGCTGTTGTTAGTCATAACGTTCTGAGAATTCCCGTGGAAGACCCCTGAGAGATGCCAGAACATGCCTGAGGTGCCGGTGGTCATGAGGATGATTGTGCAAATGTTTGGCAGGGGCATCTTGTTTCGAAGATTTCACGGTGCTAAAGAAGTTAAGGTGTAAATCAAAATCAATTATCTTCAGATAATTACCTCTGCCTCCATCTTTCTCATTCTCATTCTCCTCTTTATTCCCTCAGCCTTGAAGGCCTGTGGCTTGGAATGATGGCACATGAGGTGGAAAGGAAGTTGACGTGTTCCTCAGACCACAACAAGAGGGGCGAGATCATGTGCTCTGATCAATCGAGAGACCGGAGGTCCTTAGTCCCTGACTCTTATGCCATACCTACCTTTCTCAACGTCATTCCTTTGAGTTATTTTTCCCAGAGAAGGACCCCAAATCTTTCCTTGACAGACCCCATCCAACTATCAATGGCAGTTATCGTCGGTAAGAGTACAACTCTCGCTCTAAGGACCCTATGGGAACTTCCCAGCTCTGGGACCTTGGGTAAGTCTGAGGCTTGGGTTTTTCATCTACAAAACTGGGTAATATTAACCTACCTCGAAGGGGCTGTAATGAGGACTGAATTAGAAAACAGCCCCTGTTACATGGTCACTGAGAAGGAAAGCTATTAATGCCACTGTGCTTTACACTACGCTGGTTCCTAAAAGTTCTTGTAACCCAAATATAACCAGGTCAGAGATCCAGTCTCTGTGTAGAGTAGCTTTGGAAGAATCAGTAGTTTGACAGCAAAAAGTAATTCTTAAAATCTTCTTCGAAATATTCTAAAGACCACTGAAGGTGGGGTAATTCACATTCTAGAGCAAAACATTTTAAAAGCATCATTCCCTGTTTACTCCCCTCTCAACCTTCAAGCTGTCCCATAGCTTCCTCACAAGACTTTGTCCTCTTTCATTTCCACTTAAGGCACCATGCAGCCTATGGTCTCTTTGTTTTGTCTGTCCCCTGACTTCCTGCTCTACCTTTCTTCCTTCTGGTAATCCATTCCCATTCATGAATACAGTGCCCTACTCAGGCCATTAGGGGTCTTTCCAATTCTGCAGTTCCTTCTACTCCTTATACTGCCAGACAGACAGAAGGTCTGAGACCATGCAGGAAGATTGTGAGTCCTGTTGAGAAGGTCAGTGTCTGCAAAGGCTGCAATACTGGTACAATACTTAGATCCACTACATTACACATAAACAATTGGAATTGCTTTTAGAGAGATGCGTGAAACAGAGGACACTCTTTGTTGCCAGCAAGGGCTTCAAGCTTTGAATACCTACCTGGCTTCTTACCTAGATAACATCCTGGACCACACACCCTTCTAGCTCACCTGGCAAGGTTAGAAAGAGGCCAGAAAATCCTATGAAAGGCCTTCTGAGTCCTGAAGTCTCCACTGGGAGAGAAGAAAGAGAAAAAAACCTTCTCTGCCAAAGGCAACTGCCTACTCCTTTCCCATGACCTTGCCCTGTTTGGCCTTCTGGAAGGCGGCATCTCAAAAAGGACTGTCATTCTACAGCCACAGGGATGCCAAGAGCTCAAGAGGTAAGAGAACATTTACTCAAAGGAGAAAACCACCTTCTGTTCATTGCTCTACTTGCACCGAAAGCTCCATTTACTGCTAGAGTGTCCTCATTAGATGTTTTAAGGCCTTTGTTTTGTCCTCGACATCATTGTGGATGGAAGAGAAATGTTGAAGAAAAGGTGGCCGGGCACGGTGGCTCAAGCCTGTAATCCCAGCACTTTGGGAGGCCGAGGCGGGTGGATCACGAGGTCAAGAGATCCAGACCATCCTGGTCAACATGGTGAAACCCCGTCTCTACTAAAAATACAAAAAATTAGCTGGGCACGGTGGCGCATGCCTGCAATCCCAGCTACTCAGGAGGCTGAGGCAGGAGAATTGCCTGAACCCAGGGGGCGGAGGTTGCGGTGAGCCGAGATCGCGCCATTGCACTCCAGCCTGGGTAACAAGAGCAAAACTCTGTCTCAAAAAAAAAAAAAAAAAAGAAAAGGTATGTAGACCAAAGTCCAACCCAGCCCCCTGTGGACATTTGCTAGACAGAGTCGTTGTATCCAGAATGAGCACAGGGTCCACCGAAACCTCTGAACCTTAACTCAAGGGCCAAGAGCATCACCTCATTTGGGTAGAATCCCATCAGCAGTTCCTTCCGAGGAAGGCCCATCACTTAGAAAGCCACTGTCAGGGTCTGCAGGTCCCCATTCGTATTTAATGTTATTCCTATGGAAAGCAATGGCTGGGTTCAGCTCTTTTGGAATGGATCTGGGTTTGGTTTGCCCGTGGAAAAGGATGCATTAGTGAGATTAGATGGGGCTTGTCATGCCAGCACGTGTCACTGGAGCTGCTACAGACAATAGTGATAGCAGGAAATATCTTTTGCAAATGATGAATTCATGTCTAGATTTGATCGTGCTGTTTTGTAAAGGTGTGTCGGGGGTCACAGCTTCACAGTCCGAACGGGTTTCCTGACGGGCTGCCAGCTCTAGAGTCCTGCAGCAGATCTGGTGAATGTGCTTAGTTAAATGCAAGCTAATGCCTGTGCCTTTCATGGAGCTGCAAGCATCCCCAGGAAGACAAAAAGAACGTAAAAATTAACCGCAGGAGGAGAATGGGGACAACTACCTGTTGCATTCCAGGCACTGAATTATACTGCTCAATTGATTTCTTTAGCTCCCTCTAAATAAATGGTGGGCTGCTCAAGAGCGAGAACCACAGCTTATCCGGTTCTATCCTCCCAAAGTTATTACGCCACCTGGCACATAGTAAACACTCAGAGATTTGATGAATGTATGAATGACCAAACTCTGCTTGATTCCAATTTCAGAGGAACAAAATCCAGACAGATACATAGCTTTAAGTGGGAAAAAAAATCAATAAAGCAGTCTAAGCACATTGTAATGCAGCGACATAAGGCAGTATCATGAAATCATTAAAAATACTGTGGATCCAGATGAATGGATGAATGAAATGTGGAATATGCATGCAATAGAATATTATTTAGCTTTAAAAAGGAGGGGAATTCTGACACATGCTACAGCATGGATGAACTTTGAGGACATTTTGCTAAGGAAAATAAGCCAGTCACAAAAGAGCATATGTTGGATAAGTCCACTTGACTGTATGATTCAATTTGATGATTATATGAGTTATCTAGAGGAGTCAAAGTCATAGGGACAGAAAGTAGAATGGTAGCTGTCAGAGGCTGGGGGAGATGGGAATATGGAGTTGTGTGATGGGTACAGAGTTTCAGTTTTGCAAATAAAAAGAGTTCTGTAGATGGATTGTGGTTATGGTAGCACGCCAATGTGAATGTGCTTAATGCCACTGAACTGTACTCATAAAGATGTAGTTAAGATGGTAAATTGCGTGTTTTGCATATTTTACTGCAAGTAAACAAACATTGAAAATTTTGTCCAAATGGAAAAATGCAATATTATGTTTTGTCCAAATGGAAGAATGCAAGATGGCATAGACATGCACACGAAAAGAAATAAGCAAAGAGAAAACCACTGCACGGGGGGTGATGGCACCATCACCATTTTATCATTTTTTAAATTTATTTAATATTTTCACATTTCCTTTAAAATTTTTTTAACTCAAAAAGGTAAAGATATCAAAAGAATACCTAGCAGGAGAAAGGAATAAAAATACAAATAGATCTGAATGATAATGGCAAAATGACTGTGGTCATGGGTTCCTGATGTAGAGGAATACAGAGCTGGTTAAGTGTCAAAGTCCCTTAGTCACTTCCTTATGATGATAATGGTGGTGACGATGGGTGGTGATGTTGGTAGTGGTGGTGATGATGGTGGTGGTGGCAATGGTAGTGATGATGATGCTGGTGGTGGTGGCAATGGTAGTGATGATGATGCTGGTGGTGGTGGCAATGGTAGTGATGATGATGCTGGTGGTGGTGGCAATGGTAGTGATGATGCTGGTGGTGGTGGCAATGGTGGTAATGATGATGCTGGTGGTGGTGGCAATGGTAGTGATGATGATGCTGGTGGTGGTGGCAATGGTGGTGATGATGATGCTGGTGGTGGTGGAAATGGTGGTGATGATGATGCTGGTGGTGGTGGAAATGGTAGTGATGATGCTGGTGGTGGTGGCAATGGTAGTGATGATGATGCTGGTGGTGGTGGCAATGGTGGTGATGATGCTGGTGGTGGTGGCAATGGTAGTGATGATGATGCTGGTGGTGGTGGCAATGGTAGTGATGATGATGCTGGTGGTGGTGGCAATGGTAGTGATGATGCTGGTGGTGGTGGCAATGGTGGTAATGATGATGCTGGTGGTGGTGGCAATGGTGGTGATGATGATGCTGGTGGTGGTGGCAATGGTGGTGATGATGATGCTGGTGGTGGTGGCAATGGTGGTGATGATGCTGGTGGTGGTGGAAATGGTAGTGATGATGCTGGTGGTGGTGGCAATGGTAGTGATGATGATGCTGGTGGTGGTGGCAATGGTAGTGATGATGATGCTGGTGGTGGTGGCAATGGTAGTGATGATGATGCTGGTGGTGGTGGCAATGGTGGTGATGATGATGCTGGTGGTGGTGGCAATGGTGGTGATGATGATGCTGGTGGTGGTGGCAATGGTGGTGATGATGATGCTGGTGGTGGTGGAAATGGTAGTGATGATGCTGGTGGTGGTGGCAATGGTAGTGATGATGATGCTGGTGGTGGTGGCAATGGTGGTGATGATGCTGGTGGTGGTGGCAATGGTGGTGATGATGATGCTGGTGGTGGTGGAAATGGTAGTGATGATGCTGGTGGTGGTGGCAATGGTAGTGATGATGCTGGTGGTGGTGGCAATGGTAGTGATGATGATGCTGGCGGTGGTGGCAATGGTCGTGATGATGATGCTGGTGGTGGTGATGATGATGCTGGTGGTGGTGGCAATGGTGGTGATGATGATGCTGGTGGTGGTGGCAATGGTAGTGATGATGATGCTGGTGGTGGTGGCAATGGTAGTGATGATGATGTTGGTGGTGGTGGCAATGGTGGTGATGATGATGCTGGTGGTGGTGGCAATGGTAGTGATGATGATGCTGGTGGTGGTGGCAATGGTAGTGATGATGATGCTGGTGGTGGTGGCAATGGTAGTGATGATGATGCTGGTGGTGGTGGCAATGGTGGTGATGATGATGCTGGTGGTGGTGGCAATGGTGGTGATGATGATGCTGGTGGTGGTGGCAATGGTGGTGATGATGCTAGTGGTGATGGTGATGATGGCTGAAATGATGAACTGGGAATCATGAAATTGGAGTCCCGATATACCCTGAGTAGATAACTTGTCTTCTTTATTTTTTTTTTACTTCACTTCTCTTCCTGAATCCTTACTCTCTCTGTCTGTGAAATGAAAAGTCTGCACTGATGAATCTCTAAGCAACCATTCAGCTCTGACAGTTTCTAAATGGACTAAACTTTATCAGCCCCTTAGAAGTTAAAAAAGGACAAAGGATGGGAATACTCCAACGTTGAATGTCTAACTGTGACTCCTGTTGAATTTCCATGAATGTTATTTTAAAAATAATTGAATGTGTATTACAATGCTCACAATAAATATATGAATACAAACAAGAAAAATTCATGTAAATATATCATTATATTATGCACATTATATAAATGTCATATAAACTCTGAGAGTGTAGAAACCAACCATGACTACAGATAATCTTGAATAAATTACTTGTTATGCTTAGCTGTTTTGCATCATGAAACATTACCTCCATGGCTCCCTGCTTTGTGTTTAACTTTGTGTAGGTCTTACCCACTGTAGAAACTCAATAGTGGCGAAACAGAAGGCATTTTAATTGAACATTTTAGAAGATATCCAAGTGCCAGGTCTTTTGGATTCACAGCAATGTGCCCAAGCAGCATGCCACTGTGGCAGGAGTGTGTCAAGGGATGAATTGAGGAAGCAAAGGATAACCTCAGGATAACCCTGAGGGCACAGTTGGGAGAGATGAGAGGTCAAAACAAGATGGTGACCATTCACAACATGTAACTGAGTTCAGCTTCTTCCGTTGCCATTAGAAATGTTTGGTGACCATGGGCCTCTGGCACAGAGGAAGTTGGATAAGGTCAGTCCTTGAGCTCACTGAGGTCCCCTGATAAACAGGAAGTTGGAGCCATCAGACTTGTGTGAGGATGTGGGGATGGATGATAAGACCAGAAGGTACTCCTAAAATTCATATGTTAAAGCCCTGCGTTCCAGTATGATAATATTTAGAGGTGCAGACATTGAGATGTAATGAGGTCCCCTGAGATAATTCAGAGAGAATCTCCCAGCTCTTGAAAGATTCACTGGATACTGAGAAAACTTGGGGAAGTGGGGAAAGCAAACCACACAGGTGCATCTCTAGGTCTTACAAGACCTCTTGGGGAAATAAATAAATGTTAATGGTTGCAGTCAAGGTAATGGATTTGCATGCCGAAGTCACTCACAAAATCTGAGTTTGCCAATAGGGTGTTTGTCCTATGAGGGTATCACTGAACATCTTCTGTTTATTCCACAT